CTAGGTACTCAGATGACAGGTGCTCAGCAGTTTCTGACAGGTCTAAAGTTAGTTTTGTTAAAATATTACAACTTTGAACAAAGCCCAGGTGATGAGGGAGTTGTGGGGGTTCATTGTGAAAGCAGTGCTTACCAAGTTGAAGTGTACAGGCAGGCTAGCATAGCTGTGTGACCTGTCACATGGCATTGCACACAAGCAGGCAGGCACACTGTGAGTTCCAGGCCAGACAAATACTTAAATCAGCCGCATTGTGTGGTCGTTGTGTGGTTGTGGTGATGCATACCTTTAGTCTCAGCACTGAGGAGTCAGAAGCAGGCCAGTCTGTGAGAGCCAGCTCATCCAGTGCATAGTGGTAATCTGCCTCAAACAATAACAACAGAAGAAAAATAGACAAAACCTTAAGTCATTATGGGTTAAATAGATGGTTTTTATTTTTTTGCAATGAATCCCAGCTTTGGGCGCCCAGCAGTCTTCTTGCTTCAGCTTCCAGGTACTGGGTTACAGGCGTGCCCCCAACCTTTCCTTTTTATGAATTACACAGTATAGTGATGCAAAGTCTCTTTAAGTAGTTGAGCGCACAGTCTTGATAGGGCTGGAGAGAGCTCAGGAGCCAAGAGCGTTTGCTGCTCTGCTCGTGTTGGGACCTGGGGTTCTCCTCTAGAATGCCAATTCCAGGGGATCTGGTTGCTCTCTTCGGGACTCTGTCTGCCCTGCATGCATCCATGTGGTGCATTTAAAATGCTTTCGAAACACTCATGCACATAATACAATAAAAATAAATCTTAAAAATAGTTTCAAATATCTGTATTGTTTACTATGTAAAGCATCATCATAAAACAGGATATATATATTTTATTCCTTAAGATGCCTTACTAAATTATATTTTTTTCTTGGTATTTGCTAAAACAAACATTTAACTGACTAGGAAAAAGGGAAGAAAGGTTAATTAAAACCGCTGCTAAATAATTCAGGGTGTTTTAGTGACTTAGCAGATGAAAGCTAGCACTTCCAAAATGTCTATTTGGAAGTCTTCGCACGAAAAGGAAAGCAATTACTTTTCCGTAGGTACGTGTCCCCTTGCTCTCTGTCTGTCTGTCTGCTCTCTTCCACTGTGCTGTCTGCCATTCAGTTGGAGCAGGTTAGTTTTTGTCTGAAGTGGTTTTAATGTTCCTGCAGAAGTTATGCTTAACTGTAATTGCAAACTGTACATTAAGAATTTTAAAAAAAATTTATGTTTGTGGATGTTTTACCTGCATGTATGTCTGGTAACCACTTGCATGCCTGGTGCTGTGGAGGCTAGAAGGCGGCATTGGGTCCCCTGGAGCTCGAGATGCAAACCAATAGTGAGCCACCATATGGGTGCTGGGAATTGAACCTGAGTCTTCTGCGAGAGCAGCAGATGTTCTTGTCTTAGCTAGGGTGTCTATTGCTGTGAAGAGGTACTGTGACAAAGGTAACTCATACAAAGGACAGCATTTGATTGGGACTTCAGGTACAGAGGTTCAGTCCATGGGGGACTGTTGAGTACATCAAGGCAGGAAGCATGACAGGGTCCAGGCAGGCATGGTACTGGAAGAGGAGCTGAGGGTTCTTCTACATCTTGTTCTGAAGGGAAACAGAAGACTGACTGTCTGGCAGGCAGCTAGGAGGAGGGTCTCAAAGACCACACCTCCTGATAGTGCCACTCCCTGGACCAAGCATATTCAAACCACCACATTCCACTCTGTGGCCCCCACAGGCCTGTTCAAACACACGAGTCTATGGGGATTCATACCTAGTCATGGCATAATGCAAAATACATTTAGTCCAACTTCAGAAGTCCCCATAGTCTATAGCAGTCTCAACAATGTTAAAAGTCCAAAGTTCAGAGTCTCTTCTGAGATTCATCCAATCAGTTAACTGTCAAAAAGCAGAGCACATACCTCCAACATCACAGGATGTACATTGCCATTCCAAAATGTCACAGTGAGGAAATACTGGACCAGAGCAAGACCAGAAGTCAGCTGGGCAAACTACAAACTCCATGTCTGATGTCAGAGCGCTCTTCAGATCTCCAGCTCCCTTCATCATATTGACTGCTGTTGGCAGATCAGCATTCACCAGGAGAAAACTTCTTCTTCTTCTTTTTTTTTCCTTCCAAGACAGGGTTTCTCTGTGTAGCCCTGGCTGTCCTGGAACTCACTCTGTAGACCAGGTTGGCCTCGAACTAAGAAATAAATCTGCCTGCCTCTGACTCCCAAGTGCTGGGATTAAAAGTGTGTGCCATCACTGCCTGGCAAAAAACTTCCTTCTCCTGGGCTGCTTCCACTCCCTGTTAGCAGCTTTCCTCAGCAGGTCTCCCACAGCTCTGGCATCTCTAACATCTTGGGGTCTCCAAAGCACCTTAGACCTTACAGCTTCTTGTTCCAATGTCTGGGATCCACACTTGCTCTCTGGGCTCCTCCAATAGGCTTGGGTCACTTCTCCAGCTCTGCCCTCTGTAGCACTCTAGGCTCTGGTTGACTCCACTCCACTGTTGTTCTACATAGTCCTGGCTGTTCTGGAACTTGCTGAGTAGGCCAGTCTGGCCTCAAGCTCACAGAGATCTGCCTACAGGATTCGGCATGAGCCACCACACTTAGCTTGTTGTTATTTTCAAATTAAAAAAAAATCTTAAGTTTGGTTTACTAGAAAGACACCAGTGTGTGTTTCCTTGCTTAGTGGCCAGTTAATGATTGGTTAACGATTGTGCTTACCTTACCTGCAGGGGTGTCTGCCTCTCTCTCTCTCTCTCTCTCTCTCTCTCTCTCTCTCTCTCTCTCTCTCTCTCTCTCTCTGTGTGTGTGTGTGTGTGTGTGTGTGTGTGTGTGTGTGTGTGTGTTGGGAGTATCTTCTAAACTGAGACTCTTTCAGAGTATGGTTTAATGTATTCTTCATGAGGGTCAGCCAGAGACATTTAGGAGGTTTTGACTCTGACATCGTTATCTTGAATCTGTGGAACACTTCAAGGTTCTCTAGTTTTATTTCCAGATTTCCCCTTTAAATTTCTGTCTAATCTCCTTGTCTGTTATTTGTGTCAACTATGACAGTAACTTTAGGCTGAGTCCTTGCTTGTTACCAAGGACGCCGTTTATTACAGACAGACACTAGGGTGAGGGAGGACTCCCAGACCTCTGTAACCTTTGACACTGGAGCACGATGTCATTTGTGTATGAAGGCGTCCAGGGTTCCCACAGGCACAGGGTGGTTCGTGTGTGCTTGTTTTATATGATGCAATAAAGAAGTTTCCAAGAGATGCTGGGTCAGTGGCTTAGTGGTTAAGAGCACTGACTAATCTTCCAGAGGATCAAAATTCAGTTCCCAGCGCCCACAAGAAGGCTCAGGCCTGCAGTCCTCTGTGACTCCAGATCCAGGAGCTCTGACACCCTCTCTGGACTTGGTGCTGTATGCGCATGGTACACAGACATACATGCAGCTAATCAATCACCCATACATATTGGATGGATGGATGAATGAATGAATGAATGAATGAAGTTCGTAGGAGTAACTTCCATGGTTTTCTCTTGTTAATAGGCATGTTGTGTTGTATAATATATTGTGAGCATTCTTGACATACACTGAGCTATCAATTGTATTTTTATTTTAGTTTTATGTATTGGTATTTTGTCTGCATGCATATGCATATTCCTTGGAACTAGCCTTGCAGACAGTTGTGAGCCGCCATGTAGGTGCTGGGAATTGAACTTGGGTCCTCTAGAGGAGCAGCCGGGGCTCCCAACCACTGAGCCACTTCTTCAGTCCCTTTATTGTATTTTTTCATAGAGTTATTTCTGATGAATTCGAAGAAATTTGAAGAAATAAAAATAAATTCCTCCCCCCACCCATTCTTGGAGACAGGGTTTCTTTGTACAGTCCTGGCTGTCCTGGAACTTGATCTGTAGACCGTAGAGTAGGCTGGCCTCGAACTCAGGGATTCATTTGCTTCTGAGCGCTGGGATTAAAGGTGTGCACCACCACTACCCAACATAAATATATCTCAAAATAAAAATGAAAATGTACATTTAAAATATATTAAAGTATAATTATGTCATTTCTTACCCCGCCTAACCTCTTCCATGTTCTGCCCCCTCCTATCTCAAAGTTGTGGCCTCTTTCTCCTTAATTATTCTTACATGTACGTATGTCATAAATATCCACGTGCTGTATGTATGTCATAAATATCCAC